CAACCTTAATATATCTTTGCCAATTAGGATGCTCTACAAAACTAAGTGGTTGATCTAATACAGCTATCATTCGTGCAACTCCATATGATCTACTTGCGGATCGTATTTCCAAGTGGTTAAACCACCGGTTGCGCGATCAAAAGATAATTGTGTTTGGTGGAGTTCAGATCCGCCGGATTGGCTAAGCTTTCGAAGACACTTTTCGGAGTGTCGTCTCAAGTGTGTGGTGCCGTGAATAATGTCACCTTGTAATTTAGATAAACAATATTTACAATGAGCTATATGTTTAGTGTTACCTTCATTGTCGATCTCTTCAATTATGTCGAAGTGATCCCAAACTGTCGAGGTGCGCTTGCATTTTCTCTTAGAGGTTGCAACACTTGCAGACACAGTCGCACTGACACTCACCGTCGTCGCTTCTCCACGCCCACCACCATTGCGACCACGACTTTCAGTACGTCCAGCATGGCTCGGATTAGTAGATTCCTGCGTAACAAATTCATTAGTGGGAAATTGCCCTTCTTCTACATTGTGTTAGGCATCAACAGGAATACCACTATAACCAAAAGGATCCATTATAAAAAAATAAGAGCGATTTGAGAGAGAGAGCTTTAGGATAATGTGATAGTTTCTAGAAAAATTGTGTTAGAGATTTGAGAGATTGAGACGATTGCGAGAAATTGAGAGGGATTGAGAGAGTTTGAGTGAGAAAAATGTGTGGGGGATGGGGAGTATTTATAGAAAAATTTTTGGGTTAAAAAATTAATTTTTTTCAAAAAATTCGGGGTGCAACAGCTACTTTAGGAATCGGCGGGTCGGGTTCGGGTGGCAACGGTAAAAAAACTAGCCGTTGGACGGGTTTTTGAGCATTCGGCCAAAATTCAAGTTTTTGGGCTTATTTTCGGGTCGGGCACCAACGGTCAGAATTTTGACCTTTTTCAGGAAATTCAGGCAGTCGGGCGGGTCGGGCAAATCGGACTTGGCCGGAAAAATTCAAAAAAAACTCCGCGCGAACGGCGGTTAACGGCGCCTACATAGCGGCGGGCTCCGGCGAGGTGCCCAAATTCGGGCTGCCCGAGCTTGAAAATACCACTTTGGACGGCCCGGCATATGGGCTTGCCCGCCGAGCCTGAAAAATTCGGGCAGTGGGCCTGGTGGAGGCTCGGCTGCTGGAGATGGACCATTACTCTACCAGAGTCCAAAAATGATGTAAGCTGGTCAATCTCTGCATCTTCTTGGTCAGCATAAGGTAGATATGACCTCATGCACATACTGCTCATTTCCTCCTTAGTGGAAAAAAGAATTGGTACGGCCATTCCCTGTGTATTAAAAAAACATACAGTGAAGGATTATTTAGGTGGAAACATATTGTAAAAAGGCAAATATGCATACTTATTGAATAATAAAAATACTTGTAAACACATTGTATTCAAACCCTTACCTCGCCACTTTGCATGAGATTGTCTATCTGTCCAATCTCGACCAAGGAAACCCGGAGTGCCTCCCATTTGAGCATTCTTGGAAGACGTCCAACAACCATCTTTGCTAACGTGGCGCCAATGATTGGAAAAGCTTCGAATGCCTAAACCTGCGTTAAATAAATTTTTTTAAGACTAGTAAAATAAAAAACTATGTATAATACACTATAAGACTATGATTAAAAGTTATGCATATAACTATACGATATACCTGGAATGTCTAAGGAAACCCGCATAGTGAGTAGGTTTCCTTCCTCCCATTTGAGCATTCTTGGAAGACGTCCAACAACCATCATTGCTAACGTGGTGCCGATGATTGGAAAAGCTTCAAATGTCCAAATCTGCGTTAAATAAATTTTTTTAAGACTAGTAAAATAAAAAACTATGTATAATATACTATAAGGTCATGATTAAAAATTATGCATATAACTGTACAACATACCTAAATTGCCCAAGGAAACCCGCATAGTGAGTAGGTTTCCTTGATGCTCTTGTTACGTCCATTCTGAACCAATTTCTGGAATTTCTCTTTCAGGTTCTTGCTTAAAGACCACATAGTGCATTCAAAAGACTCCCTACCCCATGGATAGCTGTTAAAGAAATCTAAATCGTCGAAGTACGACAACCAATCCAGTGGGACGATCTTCTTCTCGTCCCTAGATATTAATACTTGTGCTAAAAAGTAAACGATATGGATCTTTACTTTATTGCTACCTTTTATCATGTTCTCTGTGAGTAATTTCTCAAATCAGCAACAAGTACTACTTGGGTATTTTTCTTAAAATGCTCCAACAACCTCATGTACTTTAAAGATTTCAACACCGCGTCCGGTTCGGGAATTTCCTCGCAGCTCAATCTAGTGATTCGAGCAAATTCTCTCATCCCGAACCGAGTTGGCTTTCCATTAATCAAGAACCACCACTCATGTTTCTTTTCTGTTCTATCTGTCTTAGAAGCAGATAGTGTGTCAACACTCCAAAATACGTCATGTTTTCGGACATTGAAATCAAATGTCCCAAGGCAGATCTCCTAAAAATTGGCATTTACGTTTCGGGGTCTAAATTTTGCCTTATAACCTCCAAGGCCTCCATCTTTGACTTCACTGGAAAGTACTCCCGCTTAGGATCCATGACCATCCTTAGTTGTCCAATCCTAGGAAGTTCATCTGGTTGTACTTCGGGAGGTTATTCTGAAAAAAGAAAAAATACATTGGCCAGAACCGACTAGAACCAAAGAACCGACCAAAACTGACGAAGAACTGACCAAAACCGACCACAACAGACTGAAAACCGACCAGAATCCCAAAACCATAGAACCGACCAAGAACTGACTAGAACCGACTAGAACCAACCACGAACCGACCTTAAATTGACTTGAAATTGACCGTTTACCAAAACCAGCTCAAAACTGACTACGAACAGACCAGGGACAAACCAGACCATGATTAAATTATTATTACTATAAGATGAATAATTCAGAGAAAAAAAATACTATGTGATTAATATGGAGAACTTTTTTTTTTTTTTTTTTTGCTAGAACTATTTGATATTGTATATTTTAAGCTTCTCTATAGGCATCACTGGTGAAAAGAGAGAAAAAAAAAGGAAGACTAACCATGCAATCTCAGATTAAAATATTTGAATTCTAAGTTGTATTATCGTAGGAAAGGAAACCTTTGAACTTCTCTTACTATTTCGTGTGACATGAAAAGTAAATTTCAGTTTGCACGTTCATATAGGATTTATCAGAATTGTTCATCCTGCACTTAATTGCATTGAAAGTATGTTACATGTAATATAATTTCAGTAATTTTAAAATCAACACTGAAACTCAATCAAAATGTGACATGATAAATTTCAAAAAGCGTATTAAGAAATTTAGTGCCTAAATCTTGATTTTTTTCAAGATTTATATTAATGAATTTCTCATACATTAAAAACTAAGTACCCTAAAAACTTAAATTATTAAAAGGTAAAATTATTTTTGGAGCTTGTAAAGTTGATAAACCAAGGTTCACTTGATTAAATGAAACGAAACTAAATTAATTGAAGCGAATACATAGTTATATAAAAGCACGTAGTCAAATCCTTACCCTTAACAAAAATTGTAATAAATAACATATTTATGAAATTAAATTAAGTAAATAGAAGATTTTAAAATTATTTAAAGTAAATTACAGTTTAATGTGTAAACGGTGGAGTAGACGTAAAAAAGGCGGGCAGAGAAGATCAAGAACACTTCCATGGCAGACGCCAATAAGAATAATTGATCCAAGGCAAAGAATGGATTGGATAAACATCTGCAAGGTTCCGAGACTCTCCAAAAAATTTTGAAATTCAATATAAGAACTCGAAGTTATAGGTAAAACAACCTCAAGAACTTGGTTACTTCTAGTAACTTCTATTTTTCTGTTAAAGTGAGCAGAAACACAAGCCTCAACACTTGTATATGTCCCATACAACAATAGATGTCGATGTACATAACAGTGAGCACAGTACCTCATTGTTCTCTTGCTTGACTTTCATTGCAAGAATTCGTGCACCAGTAGTAACATCCTCATTGCTGAATCTACAAAAACTGCATTTCAAAGATGGAAGAAACTACTCAAGGGTAAAGTATAAACTAGCCCCAAAAAGAATAATGTAATAATGAAAGTCGCAGCCAACTTTGTGCGGGAAGTTGTTTGCCTACATGGCATGCCACAGTCCATTGTGTCGGACCATGACAAGGGCTTAGTTTGGTAATGCTGTGAATTTTTAAAAAAGTACTTTTAGCTGTACTGAAAGAAAAAATAGCTGTTTTAAGAAGCAGTTGAGTGTTTAGTAAATTGTAATTATAGTAGCTGTGCTGACTTCAAAATCAGTATAATAGCGTTTGGTAAATTTTGAGATGAAATTACTGTGGGTATGTAAAATGACCAAAATAGACATGCTATGAAATTTAAATATATATAATTATTTTTAGTATTTAAAAATACTTGTTTAACTTTAAAAACACATAATGTTTTGATTTTGAATTTTTTAACAATAAATTTATGATAATTAATTCTCTTTTTTTTTTTTAATTTCTTCATTCACAATATAATTACAACTAAAAGAAGCATTAGTGACAATTAGGGACAGTTGTAGTCTTCGAGTTGTGAAATTATTTTTGGCATAGAACTTTACCTTCTCAAAAATATCAATTGGCCCCATCACCTTTTCCTATAAAATTATACCATTATGTTCCATCCACAGATACCAAAGTATAAAGGCTCACAAGGATAAAAAAACCAACTGAAAAAAAAAAAAAAAAACGTGTAACTAAATGAATGAATATATGCAACCTCTTTTACATTTGTCCGTGAGTAGGAAAAAAAAATCAGAATGTAAGGTAGATAAAAATCAGATAACAAACATCTTATATGAGTAGACAATTCATTCAAAATTACAAAACATGGCATGCATGGAAAGAACAAAATACAAAATACACACACACACGTAAATACATAAATAATATATCCACACACACGTAAATACAAACATATATATCCATACACACACGTATATACCTACAAATACAAACTTAAGTCCTTTCATTCTTCAAACAGCTTTAGCGTACTTCAAATCCTCTTCCCATGGACACTCCGACTTTGGTTTCACTTGACATCTTCACTTGTACCACTTTGGTTTGAAAATTTTACAGTATTCGAATTCTCACTCTCTAGAAGTGGTATTCCTCTAATCCCCTATACCCAACAATGAAGCCAATTCCGCATTCATTTCTGCATAATTCGACAAATTCAGAGCCAAACAAAAGAAAGGAAAAATAGCACTTAAGAATGCAGCAACATAAGAGCATTTACCTGCCCATGTTCCAATTGAATGCAGGCACCTGAATGAAGTATATCCAAAGCTTCCATATCCAAAGCTTCTCATTATAAATATAACCTAATGTAATGCTGCAATAACTTGTGACGCATATATACCTTCTTTAAAGTCATTGTCTCTAGCAGGATGCATAGTTGAACTTGACGAACCACTAGGATTTGTTTTCTTTTCTATTTGAAGCCAAGTCCACCACCTACTAATACACTCACTGCCACAATAAAAAAAAAAGAGAGAAAAAAGAATGAAGAACAAATTACAGCTCCAAAATCTGCAAGCGATGAAAGATAGAGTAAGCAGAGAAATTAGAGCCTAGCAATACCAATGGAAGCAATGAAAACAGGACATCAACTTCATAAACGGAAAATTCTTGTTCTGGTCATCTTCTGAGACTAAAGAATACAAACACAATGGACAATCACCATCCGGGTGATTCATTAAAGAAAGCCTCTCCACAGCTTCCTAGAAATACATTCAAACCACTCATTTAGCCATTTCTGTGTAGACTGTAGAGTACTCATCATATATATTCCTCAATCTTTTCATATATTTGAAATCTTTGATAACTTAGGTAGTCTAGCATATTCACATTGCCACTACATGAGAGAATTCTCATATAATAACCTTGATAGATGTGCTTGGAAGAAATTCAAAGATTACTAGATGAAAGAAGTGAAAAATTAAACAACTGAGATATCTACTAGTCACTCATATGAATCCGAAATAGAAAATGAAGTACACAATAGATCAAAACTTGAATTCCATTTAAAGATATGTCAATATAGGAACAAGTTCATTCATTTAGAACATTGACATCCTAAAACAGTTTAATTGAAGTGAATTGGGTGGTTAACTAATAGATTGAACAATATAAAAACACTCGTTCTATGAAGAAGAGAGGATTCTAATACCGCTCTACACCATAGTTCTCTACAGTGATGAAAGCCAATTATATTGAACTTTCAGCTTGTTTCGTGTGAATTTGTTGGTAAAAGACTTGTTTAGTTTCAATTTTGACTTATAGAGTAAGGTAATCATCTTCTGGAGTATTGTTTTCAAACTGTGACACTCGATTAATTTGCATCTACTGGGCAAGTGTGAATATTTCCCAAAGGCTAAAACCCAACAAAAAAAAAATAACACTCAATTCATCTTATGTGTGTTTTGTACACACAAATCTATGAAACATCCACAATAATTAATTCGAAACCGAAACACACCAAGAGTGAAAGCTCAAAACTCTACACAAGATTTGCATGCAATGCAAGAACTTTAAATTAGAGTTCCAAGCTTAATTACCATTTTTTCTGTAAGGGCTCACGGAGTCACCTCGGCAAGAACACTTAAACGAACTTGCTCACTCCTGCACAATCAGAATTGCCTTCTTCAAAACTCCAATATCGAACAGAAACTCGCAGACCTATTCCAACTTCTACAACACAGTACCGCCCGTAAAATCCATTGACAAAAACCATGCAAATCCGGAACTTTCGAAGCGTCGCTCAATTAATCTGCAAAAGAACAAAACCAAGAGAGAGAAAACCCCTATAAATCAAGCTTCGATCACGATCAGAAACATAGTGAATGATCTATAGAGAGAAAAAGCACGCGAGAGCAAAAACATCAGGATGAATTTTTGAAACCTATACAGATACAAGCATAAAAGCAGATTGATAAAGCCTCCAAATTGAGAAGAATGAAAGAGTGCTCAAGAAGAGTACCTTACCGGAGCGATCCCGACGAGATTTCCCGTCACCGGAGAAGACAACTTTCTCTCTCTTCTCTTTTTTCTTTCTTTTTTTTTGGTACAGAGAAAGAGAAAGCGAAAGAGGGAGACCGGCCAACGGAGAACGGAGAGCAGAGACCGGAGAGAGGAGCGAGACAAGAGGGAGAGAACAGAGAGCAGAGCGAAAGAGGAGAGAGAACGGAGTGATGAGGAATATGGGTAGATGGAGATTTTTTGATTTCAACGAGGGTAAAATGGGGAATAGAAAATTTTCATTAATGAGACGAGAGGAGATTCCCACACAAGTTAAAATCAGAAGCACCTAAAAGGCTGCTTCTGATTTTAAGGTGAAATGAGCTTCAGATTTTTGAATAAGCTACGGTTTTTGCTTCTTACCAAACAGTCCAAACAACTTTAGCTGGGTGAAGAAGCGCTTTTAAGCTCTCAAAATCAATACCAAACTGAGCCAAGGTCTTCTTGAGCAAATTCTGGACTATACCTTTTCGTTTGCAGGGAATCCAGCTCAAGCATAGCACGGCCTACCACCCGCAAACCGATGGCCAATCGGAGGTTGTTAATCGTTGCTCGGAAACTTATATCTGCTGTTTCGCCTCTTCTAAGCCCAAGACTTGGGCTTGGTGGCTGCCGTGGGCCAAAATTTGTTATAACACCTCTTTTCATACCGCACCACTCCATTTCGGGCACTCTACGGCCGCAATCCACCCACCTTGGTCCGTTTTGAGAGGGGCTCTACTCCCTCATCTGCCATGGACAACTAGTTGATCGAGTGAGATGCAATCTTGGAGGAGCTCAAGTCGCAATTGTAGCGGGCTCAACAAAAGATGAAACAAGGGGTTAATGCTCACCGCCACGGTGTCCAATTCAATGTGGACAAACTGGTATATCTTAAGTTACGGCCGCATAGGCGCTGCTCCTTGTCCGAGCACGCCAATGAGAAGCTTGCCCCTCGTTTCTTTGGTCCATACAAAGTGGTGGCTCGAGTGGGTCCGGTGGCAAACAGGCTCCAACTGCCCGAGGGAGCAACCATCCACCCGGTTTTCCACATCTCGCAGCTGTGACAGGCCATCGGGGTTGTGATTGTGAACGCATCCTCGGACCATCATCCACAGTTGTCTGAGGAGCTAGAATTGTTGGTGGAACCGACCGAAGTGTTGGGGCTGCGCACAATTTCGCTGTGGGGATTTGAAGTGTTGATTCGTTGGAAGGACATGCTAGCAAGTGAAGCCACTTGGGAGCTATATGAAGTCATTCAGTATCAGTTTCCTGAGTTTGACCTTGAGGACAAGGTGACTTTTGGGGCAGGGGGTATTGATAAGCCCCATGTACGGTTCACTTATGCAAGGCGTGCTATGGCACGTGCTTGAGAATGGGACTAAGTGCCTGTGATAGGTGGGGTGGGGTTTTTTTTCTAAAAAAGATTGTCGTTTTGTGAATAAATATGTACAGGGTGGATTATATAAGGGATAGGAGGGAATGTACGGACTTAGGCAAGTATTTGTTTGGAACTTGTTTGGGAGAGAGTGAACCACTCGAAAACTCACAAAATTTCCCCTGTATTGCCTAATTTTTCCCATAGTTGAGTAATACAAGCCCAATTTTGCCTCAATTGTTACTTGTCTCTATCATAATCTTATGTTCCATAAATCACGACACAACGTGTCCCCACTCGGTCAATCCAAACAACGGGTGAAACATGCTTCAAGACTCTCCAGTTATGCCACTAAAAGCCAAATATGTTTGACCAGATGGGATGTTATTAATAAAATGGAAATCGTGCACGGGTGAGGCAAATAAATATTTTGTTGGCAAAGAAGTTAAAAGAGAAGCTGGCAAGAGTATACAACACAAACCATCAATTAGAAAGTCCTCAATCATAAATTAAGTGAAAGCGTGCATATCCTACGTAAAAAAGACAGCTTAATACCAAACGGAAAGAGGGCATGGAGAAAAAGAAATTGGGAGTCGATCATCCAAAATCTCCTTTTTTTTTTTTTAATTTACAAATTACCTTTCAAGAATCTCAACAAATATGATGAAATAGAAGAGCGCTTCAAAATACCAAGAAACAAACTCATAAGGTGAACCAAACATAGGAAGATCCATGCATACATGATAAACAAGCAAATGACCAAATTATATTACGCAAATCAAATCAAAATACTACAGTAAGGGATGTCGAACTAAAGAAAGTAGGTCCATTGAGAAAACAAACTTGCCCGTTGTTTCTAACATCGACCAAGCTTCCCACAAAGTTAGGAGAAAGAGCATATATTGAGACCATAAGCACGAGGGAAGTACTCCTTCGCAAGCAAATACGATAGTGTTTCATAACTACAAATATTTTTGTGATATGATTAATCTATTGCATTTAGAGAGAGAAGAGAGAAATAGGACAATTTTTTATTTTTATTTTTTCAAGGAGAGGCCAATTGTTGGTAACTAATAAACCCTTCCTTTTTAGCAAAAAAACTAATAAATCCCTCCTGCCAACAAAATAAAGGTTCTTAACATTATTTTTTCATGTTTTTAAAGTCTCGATGCTTTCTTCTCTGAAAGCCTGAATAAAATTCACACGTTTTTTAACATTCAACTTTTGAGTTTTTAATGTACAGAAGCTTTCATTTCTAAGATGAATTCCAAGGAATTCTTACATAATCCATGTGATTTTAATCTTTTTGGCCAAGTAATTCTTACTTATAGTTGAAACCGAGAAAAAGCTTCAAGTTTTATGTCAAGCAATTATTGGCAATTCACTCCGGTCACATTTTATATAATCAAACGGCATCAAATGCGTTAGCGAATGGTGACAAGTCAGTCTGCCCATTAGCAAGTAGGAACTCAACTGAAAAACACCAAAATGAAACAACATCAAGATGCACTAACCACTTCAGCTTTGCTTCAGTAAAAACTGGGCCTTTTCATACAGCAAATGTGAGTCTGGGAATGAGAACGCTCCTTTGCCAAGAGTAATAAAAGGCGATCTAGCATTTCAGCAAAAATATTGCATCAGTTTTACGCCATCCCCTCATAAACCAAATAATTATGGGGGAAAAGAATAAGTTTCAAAGACCTAGCCACCTGGCTTGAATATATGTCATCATTAGCTTTAACGTAAACTCAGAATCATAGAGTGCATAAGCACCTCTAATTCTAAAGAATGCTAACCTGCAATGAAAAGGGAGATAGTAACGGAAGCTTACTATACTCCCGTTCAATATCCAACAGCAAGAAATTGTGGTACACCGTAACTTCTTCAGTTCTGCTATCTTAGACTTGTCATTGGTAAAACCAATGACAATCTACCAATGACAAAACTAAAAGCAAGACCAGTGGCCTCTTCCAAGCTGCACTAGTTATTTAAGGAGCTAGAATTATCGCAACTACTGGCACCAGACTTGCCCTCCAATGGATCCTCGTTAAGGGATTAGATTATACCCATTCCAATTACCAGACTTGTAGAGCCTAATTTGTTATTTATTGTACTGCCTCCCCGTGTCAGGATTAAGTAATTTGTGCACCTACTGCCTTTCTTGGATGTGGTAACCATTTCTCAAGCTCCCTTTCCAGAATCGAACCCTAATTCTCTGTCACCCGTCACCGCCATAGTATGCCACTATTCTACCATCGAAAGTTGTTAGGGCAAAAATTTGAATGATGCACCGACGGCACGATGGACGTGCGATCCGTCATCATGAATCATCAGAGCAATGGGCAAAGCCCGCGTTAACCTTTTATCTAATAAATGCATCCCTTCCAAAAGTCGAGGTTTGTTGCACGTATTAGCTCTAGAATTACTATGGTTATCCGAGTAGTAGGTACCATCAAACAAACTATAACTGATTTAATGAACCATTCTCAGTTTTATAAATCCAAAAATTTCACCTCTAACTATCAAATACGATTGCCCCCAACTGTCCCTGTTAACCATTACTTTGATCCAAAGGCAAATAGAATAGGACCGATAAGGAAGATAGTTTAGTGGCTTTGGACAATGTCACAACAAATTCCTGGGTAGGCTTTTTGGGTTCATAAAGATAAGGAATTTAGTAGTTGTGAACTCGCTGATACGGTCAGAAATTGGTCTCGTTTTTGCAATTATACTTTTGCATTTTGCATTTAGAGGATAACTCTTTCTCTTTTGATTGTTCAATATTTTTTCTATCATAAATGGAGTTTCCTGTTTCAAAGAAAAAAGGTCAGCAAAAGTATGTGTAATGTAATAATGCGTAAATAGTCTAAATAAACACAAGAATTATGTAATGGATGCCAGTTTTACTGTGATGATTTGTGCATGGTCATAGGGAGAATGATTCTCTCTAATATATTTAGGTCAAATTTGAGATCTGCATGTAATATAGAAACAATCCTTCTTATTCTAGGGTTCTGCTGCAGTTGTTGAGACAAATTATGGTTTATTACATTCACTTCACTCCTCATATTCACATTTAAGTTTAAAAGTCGTAAGTTTAAGAATTATGATGATCCCAAGTATTGCATCTCAATCATTTCATATTAAAAGAAAAAGCAAAAAAAGAAAAGGCATGACCAGAAGAAATGAAACTTGATAACTATTTAGAAAATATAAAGAGAAGTTCAAGAACTTCTTGCTCAAAGTATCTTAAATTGACAGAGTCTGTATAATATTTGAGAGTTATGATATCTAAATAATTAGAATTTAGAAAAGACACAAAAGAAGGATACCAAAAACTCTAGTAAGGCTAAAACTTTCTTGTTTTCAAGCAAAGAATTGATCTATTATACTACAGGAAAAAAAAAATGGAAATGAAACCAAGACATCACGAAAAGCAAAAGGATAAAGATATCAAAGATAGCAGTATTATCACTACAACCAGCTTTTTATATAGAAAGATCAACAACACAAAATGCCAACAACAATAGTTGTCTGTTTGTTCTTTATTATAACATTGTAATTTCCTTGCATGAAGTAAAAGATTGTGCTTTCAGAAGAATCTTGGGGAATACAAATTACAATAACTAATTCAAAAACATTCCTAATTCCCTTGCAATATTTGAATACACAATATTGCATGACACAAGTACATATATTAATAGAATAAGTTATGAATTGATCTATCTGTGAAGAAATTGCATTCTAAAAAGTGTGGTGAGCATAAAAGGCCAATGGATCAGCAAAGTCACTAGCAAAACAAAGTTCAAAGATACCTATTGATCGGAAGGACGAATCGGCATTCAGCAACCCATCCTCTACAAACAAAGACGGCTGCAAAAGAATCAATAACCGAGGTAGCTTGGATCGCCAATATACTCAGCAATTTGCTCAAGGCGGACATTGATCAAGTCATGAGTATCCGCATCCCTAACGACACCGGTTTCCCAGTCCAAATCCCTCTCCACAAGACTCCCATACACCCCTTCATGCTTCCCGAACAGCACGAGCACCGGCCCTCAACGCCGCGGGAGTGCGGTCTCCAAAACATCTTGAGACACCCCCTGAATCAGCTCCCTGCCATCATCCATGGATACATTGCAAACCTTTGGCCCCACCACATCCACCACCTCTCCTTTCTTCCAATACAATCTCCCTCCTTTCAACTCTCTGCTAATGATCCTAACCCGAATGTGGCTCCTTAGCCACGACTTTCCCGGTTGTTGTTTCTCACCATCACTATCTCTGCTTTTGTTTTCTCTTCTCTTACTCTTTTTCTCCTTCTTCTCTTCCTCTCCACGAATCCTCAATTCTTTCAATCTCTTCAAACATGCCTCATCTTCCTCAGATCCCAACTCCGTGACATCCCGAATATTGACTTTCACCGTCTCTTGGCTCCTCGAAAGCCTCACTACCAATCTATTATCGTCACTCAATTTCTCCAAAACCCTACCTTTCAATCCCAATTCTCTTCCATGAACTATTCTTACTTCCTTGCCAATCAAACTCTCCTTGTTGCTACTACTATTATTATTATTATTAGTATTATTATCCTTTGGTTTCAGAATTGAATTATTCAATGAATCACGATTGGAGTTAGGAAGAGGAGGGAGAACGTTACTCACAAACCCTAATCCTTGCTTGCCAGTCCTCTTCGTGTACTCGACGACCTTTACGTCCTCCTTGGCATTCTTCCCGATGCCTCTCCCTTCATGCCACCCGTACCCGGAGAGCAGCGCCGCACCGAATCCCTCCACCGGAACGTCCTCGAACTCCGCCATTCCCCGGTCGTCCGGCAACCTCTGGAGATCGAACTTCAACTTCTGAAGCAAGACGTCCTCCGTGGGAGTGAATCTCAGCCGTTCATTCTTGTCCTTGGCTTCATCCTGGCCGTTGATCTCATCATTAGGATCTCCTTTGGCGGTCTGACGGAGGTTGAGGCCGTACGACATGCTGGAGTCGGTCGCATCGGAGAGAGATTCAACCTCGAACTGGAGGCCGCCGGAGCCGTCGGATTGGGCGGCGATCGGAAGGTCGAGATTCTTCATCCGCTTGTGGGGCCTCCATTCATTCTGGATAGGGAGGATTACGACGGCGTTTTGAGTGGCGTTGTCGGTTAGGGTTTCGGATGCGTTGAATTCGATGACGTATTTCTGTGAATTAGCGTCGTTTCCGGTGGACTTGGTGTCGTTATCGTTCTCGAAGTTCTGTGAGGGCTTTATGGGTTTGAGCTTCAAAGAGGATTTTGATGGCAGAGAGAAAGAGAAACTCATGGTTTTTGCTGCTTGCATCTCGAGTCTTCGAATCGCCGGAGATGATGGACAAGGGAAGAAAGTCGCCGGAGAGTTTTTTGGGTTTCTGGTTAGGGTTTTCAGTTTTGGGAGGGAGGGAGCACAAAACAAAAGGCCTCTGCTCGCGGAGAGAAATTTGACAAAAAAGACTGGAAGAAAACAAAAATTGGGGATCTAGACCAGAATGCGGTCAAATTTCTTCAGTCTCCTCTAACCACACGCAAGCTTCAAGGTCTGCAACCAAGAATTAAGTACATAAATACCAAATTCAAATGCACGCCAAATAAACAAAGGACGATAAGAAACAAACGCCTCGAGACAAGAAACATTACCAAAAAACGAGCAACCCCAGATTTCTAAAATTATATATCACCTTACACTGCAAAAATAAAAATAAATATATTACCTTACACTGCAAAAATAATAATAATAATAATAATAATAATTGCCCAACTGAAGTATACCTAAACCACCCCACCCCAAAATAAAAACAAAACTAATAGTCATAAATCAATTACAGATAGAAGAATAAACAAGGACAAGATCATACAGCATTACAAAACCTACTTACTTCAGATATGCTATAACAAAAAGAACTTAAATACACATAACACAACAGCCAAACAAAAGGAGGTGCAAAGATTAGAGCATCAATCAATAAAATGGTCAACACTTGAACTTGCCTGAAGTTCATAGATCAAGTGTAAGCCATTATTTGCACCACAATTGCACCCAAAACAAAAACGACAACAAAAACAAAAACGACTTTTCTATGAAACGATTGTATTTAAGTTTGTTTACAAGCACAATTCAGAAAATGGAAATGTACAAAAAAAAAAACAAATTTATCTACCCTTTCATTTCAAATATAACTATTAGGCCACGCTAAACAAGATGATTGAGCAGAGATTAGCATAAAGACGAGATTAAAAACCTGAAACCCTAACAGCACAGAGATCAATTGGCGAACACATATATCAATAAAACAAAACCAATCGAGAGAAACGATGCTCAATCGAGTACTTACAGAGGCGATAGCCTTGATCTGATGAGGTAGAGACCGGCGACAACCGGAGGAGGAGACCGACAGAACAGAGTCCAACAACTGTGCAAAGGAGCTCAGAAACAAGCACAAACAGGGAGACCAAGTGAACAGAGAGAGAAGAGAGATACTGGAGACAAGAGAGATACCGCCGACAATCGGAGGAGGAGACGACTGGAGCGAGAGAAGAGAGAGAACTGAGAGAGAGGGCAGATCGGGGAGGAGTGCAGAGAGAAAGGCTGAGAGAGTCTGAAAAATGGGGCTGAAACCCGTTCAGTTCGCTAATTCGAGTTTTTAATTCGAGTTGAGATGTGATGTTGTGTGAGAGCTTTTTATTGTAGCAAAAAAGTTAGATGTGTCTGTTTCTGAGAGCTTTTTACTGTAGCAAAAATTGAATTCTAAACTCGAATCAACGAAAAAAACGGGACCAAACAATATGGTGAATTTGAGATTTCACCGGGGGTATTTTCGGGTAATGCGAAACTTTCATTAAAATGGGAGATGGATTCCCGAACAATTCAGAATCCAAAGCTGCATTTTAGCCGATTGTGATTTAAGCTTAAAATTGCTCACAAATTCTTTTAAAATCACTTTTCATGCATTTTACCAAACGCTAATAGCTGCTGTAGATGCCTATATAATTGCTTTTGGCATTCAAAAATCAATACCAAACTAATCCTAAGTTTCAAGCAGACATATAAATGGCTCTTTAAACGATGCCTCGGTGAAAACTTCTGACTCATCAAGAACCACCATAACAAATCAAGCAATACTCTAATGAATTAGTCAAATAAACAAAATCTAAAGATGAAAAAACTACCTCTGTTGCCACAAAATAAAAGAATAAACACACAGTCCACATACAAATATATATGGCCAGAATACCTACTTTATTAAAAAAAGATAACTACCAACAACTCTTTGAGCGCGTTTGTAACTCGTTCTAAAATAATTTTATTTTTTGTATAAAAATGAAAATGAAAACGTTTTCAATCTCAGACATAAATCATTTTTAAAAATGCATTTGGTAGTTTTATCAAGAGATTATTTTCAGTGTAAAAAAACTCATTAATGTATCTCTTTCTCTCTCTCTGCTCGAGAGAAGAAAAAACGAAAATAAAAAATAAAAAACGATTAAAAGTCGTTTTTCATTTCTCTCATTTTACACTAAACAAAAAAATTATTTTTATTTTTATTTTTTATTTTTATTGCGTCAAATATCATTTTAAAAACGTTTTAATTTTTTTTCTCAAAAAACATAAAAAATAAAAACATGATCAATTTCAAACACCACATTTATTTATTATTATTATTATTATTATTTTCTTTTTAAGATCCCACCAACGCAACCAAAGGGACTCGAACAGGCAACGCCGCAATAAGATAGAGCCACCACCCTTAGTTGAGCGGTAAGTTCAACGGCAACAGGACAGCAAAGGACGTGACAAAATAGGCGTCGTCGTCGGAGGCATGTATTCAATATTGAAATCAATTAAAAATGTTATGCAGCGGCAGTAGTGCATTGCCTTACTTTCGCATTCCCACTCCGACAATCGGAAAAAACCACCTCTTTGGCCAGCAAAAGCGTTTTCTCAGATTCACTTTCTCTCTCTCTTCTCAGCTTCAGAAAATGGAGGCCAACACCATCAGAGCAGTGGGCTTGGATTTCCTCACAAAGAAACCGTATTCGCCTCCTTCATGGGCGACCCATCTCAGCCCAATTCCCTCTCACGTCTTCTCTCTCGGCCATGTAAGCCGATTCTTCTCCTTTCCCTTTTTGGTTCTTCCGGGTCATCCTCTGATTTTCTTGGGGAACATTTAAAATGGGTTTTTTGGATTCTTGTTTTCTGAGGCTTTTTTTGAGTGTTGCTATGGTTTGGGCTGAATTTTTATACTTGCTGGTGATTTTATTATCAGTTTCCAACTCCAATTCACAAGTGGAATCTCCCTAATTTGCCCAACAACACTGAAGTCTGGTTGAAGGTATCTGCTTTTGTCTCTTGTGTTATTTCTAGTTTTTCTTAATTGAATTTGATGGTAAGACTTCTTGAATTTTGCTTTCTGTGAAGTTATATTATTGCCCCCTTGTGGATATTGTGAAGTTATAGTAGCAATTTGCAAAACACACAGACAGACACACACACACACACACACACACACACACATATTTTGTTTGCTTTTGTATACAGTTTCAATTGTTTTAGTTATATGTTTCAGTAATGTGTTTTTTTTTCTCAAATGAGGTCAAGTTTTGTAGATGAAAGAAAAGTTGTAATCTATTTTTAGGATAGGATCAAGTTTTGGCTTCCTTGTGGGGTTTTAGTGTTTAAGCGCTTGTGACAACCTTTTCCTTCTGTTTTTCTTATCTTTTCTCTTCTTGTTCTCCCCTTAGTTTGTTTTCATCCATCTTTTTTTCTTTCTTTTTTATGTAAAAAATTTCGTTCCAATGAGTTAGTTGTAGATAGCTCTCTTATAAGCTCCAGTTGTTGCAACATTTTTCTTACTTGTTATCGAATGTTCATCAATTTGATGGACTCTTTTGGTTTTGTTGTTGTGGATGTCTTGTTGATTTAGTCAGTTTTCTAGTTTATACTGAGAAATATTTTCTGATATCTAGCGTGACGATGTTTCTGGAATGCAACTAAGTGGTAACAAAGTCAGGAAGTTGGAATTCTTGATGGCAGATGCTGTTGCACAAGGTGCTGACTGTATCATAACAATAGGAGGAATCCAAAGCAATCACTGCCGTGCAACTGCTGTGGCTGCTAGATATTTGAATCTTGATTGTTATCTTATACTACGGACCTCTAAGGTCCGTAATTCCTTCAGTTTTCAGAATTCCTTAATTCATTTGTTACTCAATTTGTATGGTTTATTTCCCCTTTTTCTTCGACTTATTTTGCAGTTCAATACCCTTTTCATTTCGTTTCTTTTGGTGTCCTTAGGTACTTGTAGACCAAGATCCAGGACTGACGGGCAATCTCCTGGTTGAGCGGTTAGTTGGAGCTCACGTTGAACTAATTTCTAAAGAAGAATATGCAAAAATTGGGAGTGTGGTTCGTTGGTTTTGCCCTTACTAGTTTTTAAGCTCCATGAGCTGCTTCTTTAACTTCTCAATATAACACACTATTCATATGAACTAATGTGATTGCAGTATTACTCTCTTTAAACTTTTATCCCAATAGATAAATTAATTGTGAATATCTGAAAGTACATATTCAAGTGTGTGAATGGCAGATTCAAGTTCATACCTTGTTTTATGTATAACAATACGCTCTTGTGATATTACATATTAGCAGATTCATGTGCGCTGATTTTTTTTTTTTTTTTCTTCTTTAACTTCTCGTATTAAATTTCTCTCAGGCTCTTACTAATCATCTGAAAGAAAAGCTTCTAAATGAAGGGAGGAGGCCATATGTGATCCCTGTCGGTGGATCAAACTCTTTAGGAACTTGGTTAGCTTGTAATATTGTCTTCTTGTTTAAGATTCCATGAAAAATTGTTGTGCATTGATGGATCTTAAGGTTCGAGCTTATTGTCTTTTTACCATGTGCATTATCTTTGTATAAATTTATATTTTTAATTTGATGCAATAATTTGCATTGTAATGGAGATAAATATAAATGTGTTTAGTAGTATAATATAAATCATATCGTCATTTGCAAATTAACTTTATTGATGTCTTAAGCTTTATTCTGCAGAAAAAGGATTATTTTGAGTTAAAGTTTTTATAGTAACCTCTTGATTTTCTTTAGAAATCTGAAAAAACGTTTTCATGGATTTTCTATTTTTCGTATATTTATTTGCTTCATTTTAAAGCTTAAAACTATTTCTTGGTGCATAATTCTATCTTTATTTTTTCTGTAGGCAAAAAATAATGATGAAATAAATAATGAAAGGGGCGCTGCTATTTCTTGCTTTCTAATATTTTTAGGCATAAGATCTTGTCAGATGATGGCATAAGTGCAATACAGGGGATTCTGGTGCTTAGTTTTTCTGTTGTTTTTCCATAATGATTTAATTACTTCTGTTCTTTGTTTCTATAATTTTCTTTTCGTTGAATATGAGGGCCACAACCTAGAGAGAGAATTTATTAACATGTATTTTGGCCTTGACTATTCTAGAATATTCTATTTTTATGCTTAGTTATTTCCTAGAATAGCTCTATAAATTACAGTAGGCTTGGGTGATATGTTACCCGATTTCCTTAGATTAGAATTTTCCTCTTTTTTGTAGTTACTAAAATTAGGATATTTGGTAGGATATTTTCCCTAATTACTAGATGAACCTCCATCTATAAGAAGGGCTGTAATATACGTTTCTAAGCAGAGGAATAAAGTTAATCTTCTCCAATTTCCTCATGGTATCAGAGCCTCCTCTGATCACCAAAAAATCCTACGGCTAAAACCACCGCATTCGTACAAATTAGGATAGCGCGTCCGTACAAATCCGTACAGCGTGTCCGTACAAATCCGTACGGCCACAGATTAAGATATTCGATCGGAATGGCCACAAATTAACTCAGTTCCTCCTCCACAACATCTGACGTCACCTCTCATCAAGATTCCACTGTCTCCAACCCCAGTGGCATGTCAGACGGCAGTCAAATCCTCATAATAGGACACAAACTCAATGGAAACAATTATCTCCAATGGTCCCAATTTGTGATGTTCATATGTGGCAAGGGAAAAGATGACTACTTATCTGGTATAGCTGCTCCTTCAAAGGCAGATGACCCGAAGTTCAGATCTGAAAATTAGAGAACAGTATGGTTATGTCATGGTTAATTAATTCCATGACCAATGAGATAGGAGAAAATTTTCTTCTTTATGGAACAACAAAAGAAATCTAGGAAGCAGTAAGAGAAACTTATTCAAACAAGGAAAATACTTCAGAGTTGTTTGAGATTGAAAGCATTCTTCATGATTTGCGGCAAGGAGATTTGACCGTGACCCAATACTTCAACACACTCACACGGTATTGGCAACAGGTGGACATGTTCGAAGAACACTCATGGAAGTGCCCTGAAGATGGAATCAAGTACAGACAAATAGTTTAGAGAAAAAGGGTGTATAAATTCTTATTTGGGCTAAACAAAAACCTTGATGAAGTTCGAGGAAGAATTCAAGGGATGAGACCTCAACTCAGTCTCCGAGAAGCATTTTTTGAAGTTCGGAGGAAAGAAAGTAGGAAAAAGGTAATGTTAGGGACTCAAATTGCCACATCTCAGTTGGATAATTCTGCCCTAGCTGTTCGTGGGTCACAAAATTACATTAATGACCACAAGCAAAAAAGGGAACGACCATATTGTGAACATTGCCGAAAGCCTGGTCACTCCAAAGACACATGTTGGAAGATCCACGGGAAACCAACAGATTGGAAGCCTTCACGTCCACAAAACAGAGAGAGTTGAGGCAACACTGCTACCATGAAAGAAAATTCAGCACCAGCCGAGCCCAATCCTTTCAACAAGGAGCAATGGGAGATTTTGAAGCAATTGATCAAGCAATCACAAACAGGAATAGCCGAGTCCACAATGACTATTGGAACCGGATCCGTAGCTCAAAAAGGTAATTCCATCAATGCCTTGAGTGTTAGAAAAGATAATTTGAATTCATGGATTGTGGATTCAGGAGCATCAAATCATATGACTGGAGATAGAGGAGTCCTAACAAGCTTCAATCCTTGCCATAAGAATATGACAGTTAGTATAGCAGATGGGTCACTTTCCAAAGTGATTGGAACCGGATCAATAAAAATTTCAAAAGACCTAACACTCAATTTTGTCCTTTTAGTGCCTCGATTAAATTGCAATTTGTTGTCTGTCAGTAAACTCACTCGAGACCTAAATTGTGTCACTAAATTCTCTCCAAACTCTTGTGAATTTCAGGTCTTAGACTCAGGGAAGATGATTGGCAATGCTAAAGAGTGCTCGGGGCTCTATGTACTTGAGGCGAATGATTCTTCTAAAAGGAAAGATCACAATATTGATTGTTTAGTGTTTGTAAGTCAAAGTCCAGTTTCTGTTTTTCATTCAAAAAGGGATAGTGCAATAATGCTTTGGCACTATAGTTTAGGACATCCAAATTTTATGTATCTCAAGAAACTTTTTCCATCTCTTTTCAATAATAAAAATCCGAATGAGTTTCATTGTGAAGTTTGTCAGTTTGCAAAACATGTTCGAACTTCCTATCCTAACCTATCCTACAAAGAATCACAACCCTTTTCCTTAGGTCACAGTGATGTGTGGGGACCATCTAGGGTCACAAATATTACCGGATCTCGTTGGTTCATAACATTTATAGATGATCACACCAGACTTACATGGGTTTTCCTAATGAAAGAAAAATCAGAGGCTGGTCCGATATTCAAAAAGTTAAATACTATGGTTCAAACACAATTCCAAACCAAAATACAAATTTTGAAAACGGACAATGCAAAGGAATATTTTGCATCCATTCTTAGTGATTATCTGATCAGCCAAGGGATTGTTCATCTAAGCTCCTATGTTGACACACCTTAACAAAATGGTATAGCCGAAAGAAAAAACAGACACCTCCTAGATGTAGCCCGATCCCTCATGTTCTCTACACATGTACCAAAACAATACTGGGGAGAAGCCATACTTATCGCAACTTACCTCATTAATAGAATGCCCTCTCGAGTCGTAAACTTCCAAACACCGTGCCAAATACTACTCAAAACTTATCCAACCACCCATCTCATATCCTCCATTCCTCTCAAAATGTTTGGATGTTCTGCATTTGTACATATCCATAGCCAACACCAAGGAAAACTTGATCCTAGAGTCATTAAGTGCATTTTCTTAGGGTATTTTTCTCACCAAAAGGGGTATAAGTGTTGCTCTCCAGCCACTAAGAAATTCTACAATTCCATGGATGTTACCTTTGAATGCAGGAATGAGGGAAAATAGTTTTTCTTATTATCTCATAAATGTACAGCCGAAAACTATAAATAGACCAACCCTAGACTCTTATCTTTATCCCTTTAACTACTATCCCACAAATATAGGAATTGATAAGTACTCCTAAATGATAAGTATTCCTAATAGATAACAACCAGTTTAAACTTAAAAAACATAACAGAAAAATCCTATCTTTCTACACTCCCCCTCAAGTTGGAGCATAGATATCAATCATGCCCAACTTGCTTGTTAACAAATCAAACTTTGACCTAAACAGACTCTTGGTTAGGACATCAGCTAACTGTTGCTCAGTGGTAACAAAAGGCATGCAGATAACTCCACTTTCCAACTTTTCTTTGATAAAATGCCTATCAATCTCGACATGTTTCGTACGATCATGTTGAACCGGGTTGTTGGCTATGCTTATTGCTGACTTGTTATCACAAAACAGTTTCATGGGAGCTTCTAACTTCAGTTTCAGTTCTTCGAGCACTCGTTTTAGCCATAATAGTTCACATATTCCATTAGCCATAGCTCTAAACTCTGCTTCTGCACTGCTTCGGGCTACTACATTCTGCTTCTTACTTCTCCAAGTAACAAGATTGCCCCAAAGAAACGTACAGTAGCCTAATGTTGATCTTTTGTCTGTGATAGATCCTGCCCAGTCCGCATCTGTGAATGCTTCCACACTCCTCTGGTCTTTTTTTTTTAACAAAAGGCCTCTTCCAGGTGACCCTTTTAGATACCTTAGGATCCGATAGACAGTTTCAAGATGTTCCTTGTATGGTGAATGCATGAACTGACTTACTACGCTAATTGCAAACACAATATCAAGTCTTGTATGAGAAAGATAAATCAACTTTCCTACAAGACGTTGGTACCGCCCCTTCTCAGTTGGCACTCCCTCTGTTTTTTCTCCTAACTTTTGGTTTGGATCCATAGGTGTGTCACTTGGTCTACATCCACTCATCCCAGTTTCTTCCAGTAGGTCCAGAATATACTTCCTTTGAGATACACAGATCCCCTTCTTCGATCTAGCAACTTCCATTCCCAAAAAATACCATAAGGGTCCCAAATCCTTCATTTCAAACTCTGTTGCAAGACATTTCTTTAAACTGGTGATTTCCGTCTCATCGCTACCGGTAATAATTATATCATCGACATAGACAATCAAAAATGCTAATTTACCACCACTAGTGTGCTTCACGAACATAGTGTGATCTGTTTGTCCCTGAGTATAGCCTAGTTGCTTAACAAATCTGGTGAATCTTTCAAACCACACCCTTGGAGATTGTTTTAAGCCATATAGAGACCTTCGGAGTTTGCAGACTTTCCTTCCAAAGCTTTCTTCAAATCCCGGTGGAGCATCCATAAACACTTCTTCCTCTAACTCCCCGTTAAAAAATGCATTCTTAACATCTAATTGGTATAGAGGCCAATCTAAATTTGCAGCTATACAGAGTAGGACCCGAACTGTGTTTAGCTTTGCAACGGGAGCAAATGTCTCTTGATAGTCAATCCCATAGGTTT